GTAACGAACTGCATCAAAATTGGAAAAGTTGAGTATTAATTTATACGGTTATTAAATATAAGTCACTAACTCAATTTCGTGGTGTACACCCTTTTCCATGGTGATTACAGTATTTAACTACGGACACAAATATCTCGCTAACTGGTGTCAAAGAACTATCTCTTGCACTTCCTTTACATTGGTGACAACAATTATGTAACTATCTTACTCCTCGACAGATGGCATTTCTGCACTATTTCTTCCCGTTTCATGACTTTTCTCCGCGATTCAACAAACCAAACGGAGTCTCAAACACGAACTAAAGATATTTTTTTCCTAATTTATGGCCAGTTTTATCGTGTTCATCTATATCGAAAGTGAGCGCAGCATTTTCTGATATATTCTGAATCCTAGTTGGATCCGAGAGCGTTTTTACAAGTTGGACCAAAAATAACCGATGATTAAAAAAACAGTTTTAAAAAAAATCGGAAGGAGATAGAAATGTACTGCTTGTGCTCTGCTTTGGAAACGAGTCGTTAATTTTCGCCAAGTTTCAAAATTAGTTATAAATTTCACCAATAGATAGCGCTACTGATCTGTAAAACAATGTTTTCTGATTAGTGTCAGACTATTCGAACTGAAAATATTTACGTTTGTGTTTGTTAAATTTGTCTTTAGACTGCACAGTGTTGTTACTACAAATGAGGGAGGGGGTAGTTTTAAAAGAGTATCGGTCAGCTTTTCCTAGCTGCCAACACCATCTGTTGTCAAACTTTGTAACTTGTTTTAATACTTTGTGGAGAAAAAAAATCTGGTCTCCTAATCATACCGCAGTAAATTGTATATTTCTATCTCTTTCTGCTTTTATTTATTTATTTTTGAGCACATCGGGCATCAAAACAATAGAGCATCAAAACAATAAAGCACCTGGTAAAATCGTTTTTCGTGCGTTTTTTTTTTTTAAATATTTTTAAAATTTAATAAATTTGTCTGAAAAATTTAAGTTTTTAAGAATACAAGTAATAAAAATTTTAATGCTTTAATTAATACATTGTTGCCAGAATTTAATAGTTGTAGTTAGTCAAATTTCGATTCGAATTATATTTTAGAAATAAATTAACGAAATAAAGTCACGGTTACGACAAATCTAACATCGTCTGAAGAAAACAAAATCAGAATTTCTATTTCAGACGACTATTTGTCGTGTTATGAATAAATTAAGATACTTGATTCATGACGTCACATTTGGGCAACAATGCATAAATTATGTGAGAGTTGTACTCTTTTGAGGTGTCATGAGGCGACAGGTCTAATTACGAAGTAAGAACATAGATTTTGCAAATGTACCCGTTATTTTCAAATTATTCACCACAGAAACTGGAACGAAATTTAAATCTGAAAACGTCTATTAAAAGCGAATTTAACATAGTATCCCTGTTAAAACTACAACCTTTATTTCGTTGGATTGATGTTTTCTTTCCTTTAGGGATATTTTTTTTTTTTTAAGTTTGATGAATTATGGGTAAAATATTTTAAGTCTTTTCCCTTGCGACCAGATTATCGGTCAGAGCATAAAAGTTAATTTATTATAGCATCACTGTTGCACAGCTTTGTTTCTTTGGATTATTTTTCTTTTCTCTATAAGTTTCAAGTTCGATGATTTGTGGGCCAAAATATTTTAAGTAGTCGCTAGTCCTTACCGTCGCAACCAGACTCAATGATCCGAGAAATGTGGATGAAAGCAAATATAAAACATAGGCTTCGAATTTTTTTTTTTTTTCGTTCTAATTTTCAAAAATAAACTGCTGATTGATATCCATTTTTTCGACATTATTTTTTCTAAACATATAAAATAAATGGCTGTTGCCCTTTCAAGAGGATGAATATGACAGGCGTTATTTTAGAATTTCTTAACAATTTTTTCTGACAAATATCATGCCAATACAAAACTCGAATGCACACAGTGCTTATGTTGCCGAAATCAAGAGACTTTCACCGGTGAATGTCAACAATCACATAGTCGCTTGGGTGAATGTTCGAAATATTTGTTACATCCGATTTGATATTAATTTATTCGTTGATATTATTGTATTTCTTCGGTATTTTAATATCTGCTGAGAATAGATTAGGAGAAACATCAGTGCTTGGAGTACCGGTTAAATTCATACTGGGCAGTGGCACTTGACCTTAAAAAAACATTGATGTAGGGCAGGGGTGTCAAACTCGCGAACTCGCGATGAACATTTTTGCGGCCCAGTCAATATATCCGACGCAAAGTAAAAATAAAATAGAAATGTGAATTAGACAGGAAACTATCATATGAAATTATAACATACTTTATTTATAAACTATACGGATCATTTTAAATTGTACACGCGAAAATGTAAAATTCTAATTGGCTTGCGGCACCTGCCATTCCAGGGATACTACATCGTATCAAAAATACGCAGAAAAAATTTCAAATCTTAGAACAGAATTTGAAACAAGGTTTAAAGATTTTAATTCTTTGGAAGACAAATTTTGTTTGTTTTCTTCGATTTTCTCAATAAATATAGACTCAGTACCCAGTAATATGCAAATGGAAGTGATTGAGATTCAGTGCGACTCAAATTTGAAGGCAAAATTCATTGAAGTGGGTGTGCCTGAATTTTACAAATATTTACCGGCAAGGTTTGAAAATACTCGAAAATTCGCATATGAAATTATTTCCATGTTTGGAAGTACTTATCAGTGCGAGCAATTATTTTCTGTTATGAATGGAAATAAATCTCCTGTCCGAATATGACGCTCAATTGACGGTCAATTTTAAAAGTCTCGGCCAATAAAATTTCTCCCGAAATAGGAAAGATAGTAGCAGAGAAGAGATGTCAAGTATCAAACAGTAATTTAACTTTATATATGTTTATTACAATGTATTATTCAAAATAAAAATATTTGTTTCTATGAACATTGATTTTTTTTTTTTGCGGCCCACCTAAAGTTAAGCATTGTTTATTTGGCCCAAGTTAGCTTTTGAGTTTGACACCCCTGATGTAGGGCATATCGGACAAATGTATATCGGGCAGTGGCACTTAACTAGACCTAATATATATTTCGGACATTTGCCATAGCTATTATGTGATCAATCAACTAAGTCAACAATCACCAATTTCGGTCATTCACAGTAACACATATAAAGAGTTAACACAAGGCATTACTGTCAAATTATGCGTTGTGTCAAATTATGCATATTACCTTTTGCAATTTTTTTTCCCTTTTGAGTTTTCTGCGTATTTAGTAAATTTGATGTCTCTTTATGATGACATTTATAATTTATTTATTTATTTTTTGCATAAGTATATATTTAAAAAAAAAATTATTTTTTTTTGGATTTTATTTAAAGTTGATATATTTTATTTGAATTGACTCATGTTTGAATTTCTTTGAACATTTTATCATTCTTCCACTTTTTTTTTTTTTTTTTTTNTTTTAAAAAAAGTATTTTTTTTTTTTTTTTTTTTTTTTGGAATTGTTACAAAGTTAAAGCATTATTTTACACAGTATTATGTATTATTCTTAGGTTTTATTTTTCTAATTTGGATTGAAATTTTAACTGTAAATATTGTATTAACTTTACACAAAAAGTGTGCAAATTTGGTTAATATCCAAAGTAAAAAGAAAAAAATAATAATAAAGTAAAATAAATTCATTTTTTTCGTGTATCGCTCTTTCCGATTAAAGTTAGAATAAAAAAAACTCGTTTCAAATTGCGCTCTTTTCCTGTTATAGTCAAATTTTTCAATACCATTCGAGAAATAGTCCGAAATGCTCGTTTCAAGCTAAATTGTTTCCTGATCTAGGAAAAAAAAAGAAAGAAGAAAAGTGATAACAAAATTTTTCCTATTAATACTAAACTTCACTAACTATTAAGAGCAAAAATAATTTGTTTCAAATAATGTTCTTTCTTTCATAAATTCAGTCGAATAAAAAAAATTCAATTTAATGATGCATTTTTTTAAATTTATTTTAATCCAAAATTTCCAGATTAATAGAAGAAAGACAAAAATAATTTAATTTAAACTAAATTGTTTTTCTGGTTAATACCAGATTTTTTAGACTAGTCGGGAAAAAAACAAAAATACTTCGATTTAAAACATTTTTATTAAAATCAAACTCTTCAAACTAATAGGAGAGAGACAAAAAATAACGTTAAAAAATTCATTAACATTGTAACGACCATATTTAAGAGAAAACTTTATATTTTTTTGATACCAGACTGAGTTTTTAGAGCAGTAAGAAAGATGCAAAAATAATTTAAAATATTTTTTTTCTTCTTATTGATACTTAATAGAAAAGAGGCCAAATAATTCAATTTAAAATGACATTGTTTATGTAATTAATACCATACTTTCCCAACTAAAAAAATGGTGTGTGGTAAAATATCTATTTATTTTTCTTTAAAATTTTTGAACAATTACTTAATTACTTACAAATGTTTTTTAAGTGTATGCATTAAAGTCCACTGAGATTTTGGCAAATCTGAGTTTGCTTAGCTAAAATCGATTATGAAAAAATAAAAATAAGAAGATTCAAAATGATATTTTTTTTAAACAACATATATATGTTAGTTTGCCAAATGTATTGATAAAATTAATTTAAAAAAAATATATTGATCTTAATTCAATGTGCCTTATGGTAGATAAAATCTACACTTAAGTTTCCTTTTCTTAACCAAAGACGTGAAATGATAGAGTTCTGAATAAAGAGCAGTAAAATACAATAAAAAAATCATTAATAATCTCCCAAACAAGTAAAATAATATCAAACAAATCAGCTTGTTGATAGTTCTTTGACAACCCTCGTGTGGCATTATCAACGCGAAAATGTTATCACTCGACAAGGAACAATATCCTTCTGGCTGTTTTGGCGACTGATGGATTCTGACGTTGGCGCCCGCACACAGGGTCCAAGTGTTTCTAGCAACCCTGTTGACAGATCAACCTCAGATGGGGGACCGAACTCATCTAGACAGAGAATGTGATTTCTTGACCACGGTTGCGCTCAATACGCAGAGAAAAGCGCTCCTTTTACGCGTTTTCATGTTTTTGGTGCGCCGATAATAATTTTTTTTCCCAGATGAATTTGTGACGTTGAAACAATGTTATCAAAGACTACTACTTTTATCTTTTTGTGTTCTTTTTTACCTTTAGCATGGACTAATTGGATGTAAGTGTTATTTTCATCTTATTTCTCACACTTTGGAACAATAATAATCAAATGTATTGTTTTAATATTATATTTATTGATGACTTTCTTTAATTATTATGTTATATATATATTTTTTAATTTGATATTAGAGTAATGTTTATTTCTACATTGATTTCTTTTTATACAATTTGGAATTTAATGATTGCATATTTAAAATTCGAATGAAAGTTGAATATTCGGATCGTTTTATGTACTTATGGAAACTACATACTTGTAAATAACTTTTCCTTATAAAATAACATTCCTAAGATACTTGATAATATTTCATGATTCAATATAATTATGAAGTTAATAAGTTTTAGTTGTAAACAAGTTGATTCATTTAACTGTTTTACAAATTGCACGATACTAAAGTACTATTGTATCTGGTTGCCAGGTAAATAACTAAAAGCTGTTCGTAATTTATTAAAACTAGTAGAAAATTTAAATATATATTTGACAATTTTGCAAATATGTAGCATGTATTAGGGAGACAAATCCATGAATAGCTGATTTATTTTGGAAAACAAATTTTCCTCTAGTGAATAACAAACAGAAATCTAGTTAAAAAAGTAACTAGAGAATTTTTTTAAGTAAAATTTTGAGAGTCACATATATTTACAGCTTTACTAAATAAAACTTTTCTTTCTTTTATAACATTTAACATGAAAAATAAAAGTGTATGAAACATTGCAGATGATACCAGTATCATTCTGAAATAATTCCTAGGCTGATGTCTGCCTAGATTTTCCCTTCGGTTGAAAGGTTTAACCTAACCTTACAATAAGGAAGGTTTCATCTTTAAAAAAAAAAGAGGAAGGAAAGAAAAGACAATTATTTCCGATAACTCTTTCAGAAAAAAAGAAGAAAGAAACATTAAAAAAATATTAATACTTTCAGGTAGAATAAGAAATAAAATCATAAAAAATAATTATTATATCAGGTAGCTCTCATATGAGAAAAAAAATTCTTAAAACTCTTAATACTTTTATACAGCTTTTAGGCGAAGAAAAAATGCTTAAAAAATAATAATAGCAGCTCTTTTATAGAAAGAAATATTTAAAAAATAATAATACTTTCGTATGCTTCTTATAAAAAGAGATATTGCATAAAGAATAATAATAATATCAGATAGCTCTTACAAGAAGAAAAATATAGAAATTGGTTATTGAAAAAAATATTATTAAAATTTAATTCCGAACATTTTTAAGCTACTAAACAGTTAGTTTACAGGGCAGTAATAGTTTTACAAGAAAAAAAAAATTAATTTCTCTCGATTTCGTTGAAAGTAAATCTCTGTAATTTGTAAAAATGATTTTTAACTAAAATTAGTGAGAAAATATTAAAAAATTTCTTGGTAAAAATTTTTTATAATTTAATTGTTAATATGAACTTTACGCTTGATGAATATATGATTTATAGACATTTTCTAAAATCTATCAATATTTAGAGATAAGAGTGCTTCTCTCATTATATAAATTTTATTTTACATGCAAAATTAATACGATTTAATAACTTATTTAAAGCGTGTATATCAAAAGAAATAATAAAGTAATTTCAGGACTGAAATTTTTTTATTATTTATTAATAGCTTGGATAGTATGAATATACAATTTCGAATCGTACATATTGTTTCGAATAATAATTTTTATAATAATAACACTTGTATATAACTATAACTTGTATAATAATAACATTAACTAAAACAATAAAGTAATTTCAGGACTGAAATTTTTTTGCTATTTATTAATAGTGTGAATATATTATTTCGAATAATAATTTTTATAATAATAAAATAGTTTCAATCACTGAATATGGCTAGCGAAATCATATTTTAACATTTTTAAATATCTTTACCAGTTTTAAATTATTCATCGGTGCGATCTGTACTGCTCTAAAACTCAGATTATTAAATTATATTAAGATATTCAGTTTAGTATTCATTAATCAATATTAAATTGGTACATCTCATTAAAAAAAAAAACCACTCTATTTACACGGTAAAAAATTCCGGATCACATTACCGTCTGAAATACGGCACTTTGGGGTTCATCATCTGTAAAATCCATTTAACTGTCAAATCCATTTTTACTGAATTATACTGCGAAATAAAGTAATATTATACAGTAATTTTTACAGTAATATTTATTTAATTAGAGTGATTTTACGGTAATTATAATTGTAAAAATTACGGTGCATTTACTTTTTTTGTTCTGCAACATGTTTCGATAAAAATGGATTTTACGGTAAAAAGTAGCGGTGGTACTTTTTACCGTTATTTGATCCGGATTTTTATACAATGTTTTTCATTCACTGAACAAAAATTATTCTACCCAAGCATTGAATAAAAATTATTTATTTTGGTCATTTATTCTGAAACAAAAACAACCAGAGATGAGAGTTGCAAAAGGCCAAATGTGTAGTAGGAGTGCAAAGCTAAGCGTAGCTAAATTATGTAACATGTTTCGATAAAAATGGATTTTACGGTAAAAAGTAGCGGTGGTACTTTTTACCGTTATTTGATCCGGATTTTTATACAATGTATTTCGTTCACTGAACAAATGTTATTCTACCCAAGCATTGAATAAAAATTATTTATTTTGGTCATTTATTCTGAAACAAAAACAACTAAAGATGAGAGTTGCAAAAGGCCGAATGTGTAGTAGGAGTGCAAAGCAAAGCGTAGCGAAATTTTGTTTTAATTCAAACAAACAAAACGAAAATTTGTTTTAATTATTTTGTATTTTATTAATTCAAATGAGATCAAGACAGAAATTTCTTTTGAGGTGATTTTACTACTCATTCGTACGTGAATGAGTAGTAAATGATTAATAGATGTAGTAGTCAATGATAGTAGAAATGAAAATAGATATAATAAAAATAAGTAGATTATAAGAATGATAGTGTTTAAATAATGATAATAAGTAAATAATAATGATAAAAATAAATAATACTTAATTTCGGATTAAATAACTGTACCGGTACTTTTCACCGTAAAATCTATTTTTATTGAAACATGTAACAAAAAATCTGTTATACAGTAATTTTTTCATTAATTTCTGTAAAATCCCTGAGTCACTGTGGTTAAATAATTAATAGTGTGAAAACTACGGTATAATATTTTACCGTTAAATTGAGTTTCTCGGTAGAACGGATTTTAAGGATGATGCACCTATATTGCAGGTTCTTTATACATTTATTTGATCCTGGATTTACTACAGTGTAGTTAATTAACTAGAATTATACAAATTTGAGTTTATAGATTTTAGAATTTTTATTAATCTTCAAAATAATTGCTTCACAATAATTACTTCAGAATAAATAGCATTTTAACTTTCCTGCTCTGTCATACTAAAACTTTTTAATAGTTTTAATTTTTTATAAATTTTCTGAACCATAAATTCATGTATAAAAATAAGGTTAAACTTATTTATTACTTTATAATACTGAGCAAAAGTGTCAATTTTCATTACCTTTGCATACTATTAAGAAATGTAATTTTTTTTCAAGGAATATTTCTTTTTTTTAATTTTTATTCCTAAAAATTCAGTATCGTTTACTATCGGTAATTGAAGTAATAACTTGTCTATAAAATGATTTATATCCACAACATTGTTTGTCAATGATTTTATTACATAACATAAGTAGTTGAGTTTTAAAACAACATCTTCCGTAAAACAATAAATTGTTTTATAAGCATAGACAGGTGTTGGTAATTTACATATCTCACTTTAGTTTGATGCGACTACAATCTAAATTCGGTCCCAATTCTTGCTGTCCCAATTGTTATTGGTGATACCTTATGAAATGTGTAAGCATGCTGGCAAAGCATTAGAATTCGCTTGTTTCACAAAATTTTCCTTACAAATTTTTTATAATTTCTTATAAAAGAATAAAATTAACTATCGTTTGCTGTCTTCTAAAAGCGAATACTCATATATAAACTATTATTAAATTATATTTTACTTATGAGGTGTTTTAAGAAATGCAGAGTGCCAAAAAAAAAATGGACCACTCTGAATACCTTTTAATCTAATGATCGTATCTTCACGTTTTAGGACTCAAATCGTAATGGTTCGAGAATTTGACCTCAGACATGCTAATTAATTAGTGCAGACGATAATTTAAGTTACGAAATCAGACACAAAAACGCACTTTCTCTTAATAATTATGCCTTTTTTTTTCAACAAATTCAGATTTCTGATCCCCAAAATATAGGGGGTGCCGCAATCTGGGAAATGTGGTCCTCATAGTTTGGTGAAGAGAGCAATCAAAAGTTTGGATCTATTGATATTAGTTTTAATTTTTGCATATCCCGCCTATGTCTCAAGAAATGTTAAAGTGAATTGAAAAGATTTTTGCAAAAAAATATAAAGTTTATTAATCCGAAGATAATAAATATTTACAAAAATAAATTTTTGTAAATATTTATTATTTTTTGATTATTTTATTTAATAATAGTTAAAAAAAATTTTGACCAGTAAGGTATACAGTTTTGACGTCATTTTAAAGTATATTATTTTCCTTGGCAAAATACAAAATTTGAGCGAAATCGATTGAATAATTCCTGATAAATTAAATTTTATAGAAGTCGTATACTATTAACTATTCGATTTCTAAGGAACTATTTCACCAATTTCGATCAAATTTAGTATTTTGTTATGTAAAATTATGTATTTTAAAATGACGTAGTTAAATAACGATTATTATTAAATAAAATAATTAAAAAATAATAAATATTTACTAAAATTTATTTTTTGCATGAAATTATCTTTGGAGAAACGAATTTTACAATTGTATGCAAGGTTTTTTTCAATTCGCTTAAAATGTTCTCGAGACATGGCGAAATACGCAAAAAGTTAAATTAACGTCAAGGGGACCCAACTTTAGAGAGCCCTCTTGACCAAAATATGGGGTCCACATATGGGGTCCCTTCTATTTTGGGGGTCAGAAAACCGAATCCGTTAAAAAAAAGGTAT